GTTATCGAGTAGAAGAGACGCGAAGAGCACTCCAAAGAAAATGATACGCAATTCAAAAACGTTTTTTAAAAAAACTGTAATTCAAAGAATACCTTGTTGCATTTTAACAGGGAAGCAGTTAATTCTATCATAATTTTACAATGAATTGTCGCTGGATTTTCCCGTTATTTCCCCTTCTTGACAGGGAGCACACGGTTGGTGTGACCGGGCGGCAAGGGATGCTCACTCCTCCATGGCACCTCATCCCACCTATGATATTTTAGAAGTCCGTATTTGCTCTGCTCTTATTTTCATTGTTTTATAGATTTTTGATCTTGAATACTGTTTATTAACTCCGTATGTTTTATCCTAAACTCACCACTTTAGAGCAAACGTCCAAACCACTGTGTCACTAGGGTACTATTTTCTATTCCACAGGCACCAAACTCGCTTGAATTTTTGACCCCCTAGTATATATACTAGGGGGTCAAAAATTCAAGCGAGTTTGGTGCCTGTGTTCTATTCCAATGAAAAGCAGTCTCAATTTTGGAGGTCCGTTAAATGTTTTTTCCACATATATCAGAACAACAAATACATATTTTTTGTCTTGATTTAGAAGAAAAATATTTCAAATGGTGCATTTAATTTGATTTGAAAAAGTTGTTCGTTGAAAAAAAAGCTTAAACAGTATATACGTATACGGATCTATATGGAACGCCGTCACTGCCTTATAGCAGAACACTACTATTGCATTGTGTCAACCTTCCATTACATTATGTCAACTCTTTATGACATTAACCCACCCTACTATTGCATTGTGCCAACCTTCCATTACATTATGTCAACTCTTTATGACATTAACCCACACTACTATTGCATTGTGTCAACCTTCCATTATATTATGTCAACTCTTTATGACATTAACCCACCCTACTATTGCATTGTGCCAACCTTCCATTACATTATGTCAACTCTTTATGACATTAACCCACCCTACTATCGCATTGTGCCAACCTTCCATTACATTATGTCATCTTTATGACATTAACACACTACTATTGCATTGTGTCAACCTTCCATTACATTATGTCAACTCTTTATGACATTAACCCACCCTACTATTGCATTGTGCCAACCTTCCATTACATTATGTCATTGCATTAACCCACCCTACTATGTGCCAACCTTCCATTACATTATGTCAACTCTTTATGACATTAACCCACACTACTATTGCATCGTGTTAACTTTCCTTTACATTATATCAACTCTTTATGACATTTACACATACTACAATTTTATTTCGTCAACTTGCATTTCGTTATGTTTACTTTTCATGACAATCTTAGTTTTTATTAACTGATGTGAAAAGCTCATGCCATACTGTGCGCACTCTTCTACATTATGTCGATTCACTATTACGTTATGCGAACGCGGGTATCCTCGGCCTTTATATGAGCATAACGTATTTTCCGCGTTCCGCAAGCACTAAAATGGCGGGAGAGAAAACTGTCGTAGAAGAGATTCTCAGCGATTTCGGAATGACATCTTTAAATGAAAACTTTAAGCGACAAATGATTGACAATCTTGAAACATGCAAAGCCTTAACACTGCGACTGTGAATTAAAGTCACGTCGAAATTCAATGGTGTTTACTTTAATCTGATAATTAAATAAATCAAATATTATGAGTCGTGCAGCAATCATTTTTTTCTTTTTATTTTGAATTGTTTTTTTTTTTTTTTTTTTTTTTTATAAAAGTCTTAAACTTTGTAGGACATTGCATTAGTTTCACATTAAGTTTAGCTGAATTAAGTTGAAAACTTTTTTCTATAAAACTATAAAGCCTGAGAGCTTCTCCGCTTTCCGCCCTTGGTCTCCAACCATATACCGTCCCCCTTCCTTGTTCAAGATTCCCATATCTGCCACTGATATGTGCCCATGCATGCTTACTAAGGCATATTCAATTGATTTAGATGAGCGACTGGTAGATTTTTGTAATAGAATTCTGGCCCTGGAATGATTAAAAAAAATTACTAACTCCAGTGACGTAGCATCATTTTTTTTGAAAGAGGAGGTCAGCCAGTAAAAAAAATCATTTATCCGAAAAAACTAGACAAGCCAAGAAAAAAAATGTCCAAGCCCGAAAATCCTATTTCGGGGAGAGTGGTCCAACTTCAATCAATCCTATTTTTTTCCAGATATATTATATTACCCTTAGTGGACTATATTTCAACAAGAAGTGGGGGTGGGGGGGCTGTACAGTTTCAATGAACATTACATTTTCTATAGTAAAGTTATGTCTGGGAAAAGAGGGGGGTTGATATTATGTGCCTGTAATTTGTCCTAATCAATCACGACCCCCCCCCCTTCTTACCAGTCATTAAAACACGGTCGTCAACATTTATTATATACTAGATATACAGCTTTGAGATAATGTAAATGTATTTTTGCATCAGGTAATGAACTTGGAATCCACATGATAAAGAGTTAACACAATATAAAGATATTTTTAAATCACATAAGAAAGAGTTGGCATAACGTTATAATATATCCACATCACGGTATGGAGTTTTGACATAATGTAATAAAGTGTTGATATAATATAAAGATATGTTCACATTATGTTATACACTTTTTACACCACGTAATAAAGCACTGACATAAAGGTAAGATGTGTTCACCTCACATCATGATGCCCTCGCCGTAAAATAAAGATAAATCCATATCACGTAATAATACTTTGATATAATAGAAATATACACTCTCAAAAAGGAATGGGCTTTTGACTTCATGTGATGATAAGTTTAATTATAAAACACAATTTACTTGACGTAATGCAATTTTGACCTCACATATTAAAGAAATGAAATGATGTAAAGAAACATTCATTTCACGTAATAAAGTTTTAACACAATGTAAACACATTATCACTTCACATAATGAATTTTTTACTTCAAGTTATGAAGTGCTGACATAATGAAAGGATGTATTTACTTCATGTAATGCAGCATTGACATGATGTTAAGATATATTTTCATCATCCCATAAAAAATGGACATAACGTAAAGATATGTTCACATCACGTAATGATAAATTGACGTAATAAATGCATAGTTGTATGCTATAAGGCAGTGATGGCGTTCCATACACTTGCCCTGCATGACTATACTGAGTAAACTTTTTACTGGTATGTGTTGACGTCTCTATGAATGAAAATTTCTCAAATGGTAGGTAATACAATTTATTATATAGCTAACAAATAGTCTCTAATAAAATATTACCAAAAATCTATAGAATTTTAGCGTTCAATATCTTGACGTTTTATTGAACGCTGAGTGTGTATTACGTATAGGAATATGCCCGAAACATTCCGAATACGAGCGTTCAATATCGAATGCCCCGTTGTAAGCAAAAAAAGAACGTCTGGTCAAATTCTCAGAGTTAAATTAAAGAAAAAAGTGGAATTTAAGTAAGATTTGGTTATTTTTTTCACACAAAATGAAAATATTTATCAAAAATCTAGTACGTATTAGACCCATTAAAACCTAAATTGAAGCAAATCATTAGGCTCGGTAGGGTCCTCGGAATGATGCGATATCGAACACTTACAGGACAGGCGTTAGTTTGAATACCGATACTAAAAATCATTAATTTTAGTTTTTTTTAAGCTGGAATAATTATTATAAATTATGAGGAAAAGTTTAAGCAATATAATAAAGGAGTTATTAAACTTATATTGGTGAATATTGGCACTCGTTGGCTGTACAAATGCACTGGCAATCTCGTGGATTTATACAGCCAACTTGTGCCAATACGAGGGGTGATCAAAAAGTTCGCGAACTATCTCTATATTTACAAAACCACAATTCAAATCAAAATGAAATTTGGCACACATACAGTCATACATATGTTCTATAAATATCACATGTAATGGAACGTTTTGCCCCGTGTTTGTGACGTCACAATGTGAAAATGACGTAATAAGGTAGATCACTTCTGAAAAAAAATGGTTGACTCAGTCGCATTCGAGAAACGAACGGCTGTAAAGTAAAATGTAAAAAAAATTATGTTTGTTAATTGCCCAGTGAAAGCAAATTGGGAAAGAGACGTGTCCTTTGTTAAGTAATCTGATAAAAAAAGATCGCCAACTTACAGTTAGAAAAATCGATAAATATCTTTACAATAATCTATTTATCAAATCCCTAAAATATCGTTTACTTTAGACTTTAAACATAAAAGATATAATAAAGTGAAAGCACCCATACTTTATCCACATGAAATAAACGGCGCTCAAAAGACAGAGGACTTGGGTTTTAATGGTCACCATGCTCATTCTGCAAAAGGATATCATTATCCACTCATACTATTGCCGAGATTAGGCCATTTCTGATAAATGAACTGTTTTTGTTGTAAAATAAAAACTAGCTTGCATGGTGAGAAATATAAGAGTCGGAAGCCTCTGTGACAGAACGCTAAGAAACATGTCACGTGACCGCCTATATCACGTGATCCGCGCATGGTCTGAATGGCTGCAGATGCGCTTTAAAATCGGAGAGGACAACTTTGAAAAATTTTCAGCACTAGCACCCTATATCATTTCTTTTTAGGAAGTTATTCAATTAGTTCGCGAACTTTTTGATCACCCCTCGTATTCACCAAATAAGTTCAATAACCCTATAATATCTTCGATTTTTATTGAAAATATAAAATTTGACTATTCTTATTATAGTTACATGTAACTATAGCATCTATAAGTAAAAACTTTAATTTTCTGTCAGGAAAACTTTGAAAATTCGATTTACTATTATTACTTTGATTTCTATATTGAAAACTGTAAAACATTGATATACTGTTATAATAGTGATAACGCTGAAATATTGATAAACTGTAGTAAAATATTTAATTCACCATAATAAAAATAAAAATTATTTATTTACTATTGTTAAAACTTTGAATAACTATACATATTTATATCTAAAAATGAAAAGAAAAAAAGAATTCATGCAAAAAAAAAAATACCTTTTGACAACCGTAGTATTTTAAGCCATGTACACTTATCCAACTACAAAGCTTGGTCCAATGATAAGTTTAAATCTTCAGAAAGAAAAAAATCCAGGGTTGAAATTCAATCCAAATTCTTAAATATTACACAATGAAAAAGGGCCATATTGTATGTGCGTTACATTCTTTCTTTTAAAAAATGCACGTAGCTTTATTTTTCTTTCCTGACAAGCTTGTCTCCTTGACTCAAGGTTGACGGTGTGCAACTCTTTAACAATGGAGATAGTAATGCAATACGAATATTGGATGACACTGTATATTAAAGTAACTCAAAAGTTTCGAGATTAAAATAAAGTCCTACCTCCCTAAAGTTTCTTAAGTTTACAAACATGTATGTCAAGGGTAACAGCGGTATAAAAATAAAGTAAGTTATTCGTCAAAGGAAACGCCTAACACATTTTATCTCGTACACTCTAGCTTTGAGATATTCTTTACAATATATCAACTACAATTTATGTTTATTAAAAAAAAATTAACCAACATTAAAAGACATACTTACATGTATGTCCCGGCTAAAAAAAATTATAGGTTTTTTTTTTTTTTTTTTTTTTTTTTTTTTGAAGCTATGAAAAATATCAATAATTTAAATTAAAAGGAAAAGAAACCTTAAACATAATTTATTTATTTTTGTCAGTTTAGCGTTCCCTTCGAGAATATTTCACTAACTTGAAGATTATAAGTGCAGGGCTGCAAAATCTAGACCTGCTTTACTCGGCACGCAGGACCACTGACATGAGACCTCGTTTTATACGATCTCATCCGAAAAAGCACGTCCCGCACTGGGATTCTAACCCTCGCGACGCAAAAATTCTGTCCATATTCCGCCACTTTAGAGAAAAAGCTCTTGCCACCGCAACAAGCTAAGCGAGGACCTCCAAAACTCTTAAGTGAAGTAAATAAAATGGAGCTTACTATCACTAACGTTTTAGAAACACTGATGCCCCCGTATAGCAGCTAATTATGAGAGTTGAATTTTTTCAATTGTATGTCAAACTCCAAAGGTCAAATGTGTCGGTACCCAAAGGAAGGCCTGGTTACACGGAATACACCTATAAATGCCCTGGGACGACCTGTTTACAAGATATGGGCAAGGTTATAGTTTTTCAAAAGTGGGTCAAACTCGTAGATCAAAGTAAAACGGTTAAAAATATATTCCAACTGAAAGGTCTTGTCACAATGAATACACAGGTGAAGTATGAAAAACGCTAGATTCAACTGTTCAAAAGTTATTGCGAAGGCTAAAGTGTGGTATTTTTTGTAAAAGTAGGTCGAACTCCAAGGTCAAAAGATTAACTTTTGGTGGTACCTAAAGAAATGCCATGTCACGAGAAATACACCTGTGAAATATGAAAGCCATAACCCCAGCCAAAGAAAACTTATTGGCAAGGTTAAAGTTTTTGTAGAAAAACAGACGGACGGACAGCTAGACAGACGGACGTTCAGAAAGGGCAAAAACCGCCAAAACTTCGTTTACGAGGGCATACTTCCTTAACGTTGCATATTTAAAAGTAAATCAATGCTTTTTATATAAGTGTATCACACTTATACTTCGAATTTAACGATTATAAATGAAAACAAAACTAGTTAT